ATTCTCATGGTCTTCAGCTCCCTGCCTTGTGTCCCTGCCGCATTTCCCCTGGCAGCCCCGTGCCTAGGCCTGTCCTCCTTCCTAGGCGGCCAACGCAGAGGGCCTGCCCTGCCTTCAGCATCCTCCTCACTGAGGGCCTTTCCTCTTCCCTTCTCACCTCCTGGAGCCTGACATGGGCTGGGTTGGAAGGCAGAGAAGCCTCCCTGGTTTCTTCTTTCAGAGCAGACCCCTCTCTTCTCTGCCCCTCTGGGTTTGTACCCCTGAGGACTGCTGTGTAGCACACCGTTCGTGCCTGTCTGAATCCATGTGTGTCTTCTACTGATCCCTGTTTCCCCTCCCATGGTGGACTCCTTTCTGGCCAGCTTGACTAGGCCTTAACGAACAGCTGGTGACTGAATGAGCCCAGTGCTCTGTGAGTGCTTGTTCAATGAGAGCTCAGAAGCAGGTCCTTAGACCCCCTAAGCAGATGGGCAGCTCCCAGAAACCTGTGGGGACTCAGCTGTGACTCTTCCAGGGTAGCCCCTGGTGCTGATGGCACTGCAGGAAAGTCCCAGGTAGGTCAACTCTTGTAGAAGTGCTTGTTTCTGCCCACTTAGGCACAGGTCCTTTTCCTGAGAAGGCTGATGGGCACAAGCATGGTTGCACTTTTCAGAGGTGCTGACAGGCTGCCACAAAGGCACATGTTCCTCTTCCCCATTACTGGGTGGGCTTTTCTCCCTCTTACCCTGAATCTGGGCCTGTTTGACCAATAGAATGTAGTAGAGGTGATATTGTGAGACCTCCAGATTAGTCTCTGAGGAGCCTTACAACTTCTGCTAGGGCACCTTGGGACACTCATTCTGGGAAGCCAGCTGCCATGCTACGAGATGGTCAAGCCACACAGAGAGGCTCTGTGTAGGTGATCTTATGGGCAAGGGCTCTGGTGGATAAGTGCACTGGTGAACAGCCTCAGCCTTGTCCTCAGGGAATAGCCTAGAGTCATGAGCCAGCCCTCTGAGAGGGCCAGGCTAGTGACTTTCCTCCCAGTGGACTACTGACCACAGTCTTGTGGGAGATCTGGAGGATGAGCTGCCCAGGCAAGCCACAGATATATGAGATGAGATAAACATTTGCTTTAAGTCACTGAGCTCTATGGTAACAAGACAGCAACAGAAGATTGGACTTGGTGCCAGTTAGAGAGGGCCAGTGACTGTGGATCACCTCCCTATCTGAAGGAGCACTGCAGAAGGTGAATGACTTCTAGGGTGTGGAGAAAAGGACAGGGAGTGGGTCCTTGTCTCTCTATGACAGGGCTTCCCTATCTGAGATGCTGTTTCCAATTTTCAAACTTGCCTGGGACAAAATGGCAAAGGATGGGTGGAACAGTTTTAAGGTCAAGTTTCCTTAGGCTGTGGGGGAAAGCCAGGGTTCAAGTGCCCACAAAGCCTTCCCCACATCCCATTCCAGTCCCCGCTCTGCCCACTTCTCCATGGAAACAGTTGGAACATGGAAGGAAAGAAAGAAATGGTAATGCACACCCATGCTGTGGCAGGTGAGTGACTTCTATGTTGCATTTGACTTTCATACAATTTGATCAGAGTGCAAGTATTACCCCATAGTGTAGATAAGACAATGAATCCAGAAAGGATCAATACTGTATCTACACAACAAGCAAATGGTAAAACCAGAAAAAAATATGTTGTTATCTGTACTATTAATGATGTCCCAATGGGCTTACAGATACTGGGATGGTCTCTCCAGCCATTGGTCATCGCCAGCAGCCCCTCATTATTGCTTTGCTACGTTTGTGAAGTCCTGGATCTTGCCAATGCTAATCCCTGTGGAGGGTCGATACTTTAAGAGGATATTAAGAGGTTAGAGTGATGTCCAAGTTCTCCATGGAGAGTTAATTGTGATGGTAGGAAGGGGGGTGAGGCAGAGGAGGACCTGCAGGGGCGCAGGAAGAGGGTGATATGAGAAGCCCAGACTTTTCCAGGTGGAACCTGATGGTGGGTTTGAAGAATCTGGCACGGAGCCCATGACAAGCCCCCTCCCTACCTGGGTCACATTTCTGCAAACCCTGTGACCCGTCTGGAGGATATCTGTTCCTCCTGCGAATGGAGTCTGTCGCTGGCAGGGAGATGGGACTCATTCTTCCCCTGTGCTTGGCCAGCTTCCTTCCAAAGCTCCTGGGAGACTGTGTTTAGTTCTCGGCTCCAAACTCAAGGAGCGGCATTAACCACCTGGCACAAGGCCAGAGCAGCAGCTGGGGTGGGCAGAGAGGGGAGGCTGATTCCTGATGGAGCAGTTGCGGAGGTCCTTGGGGAGGAGACCCAGGGGACTGCTGAGGGTTTCCACCCTCAGGATGCTGGGCAGCCTGTGTATGCCAGGGCTTTGCCCTCATTCCTAAGTCTCTTCTTTGGGATTATTCAACTCCTAGGGGCTTCTTAGTACTGATACGTAGTATTAGGGTTTGAATTTGAACTGTCTCTCTGATCTCCTGTACTGAAGGCTTGGCTGTCAGCTGATGGGCTTTGGGGAAAGTGATTGTCTGCACGCTCGTTAGTGAATTAATCTGTTGATGAGATCATGATTCGATGGCATTCTTGGGAAGTGATAGAAACAGAATGTGGGATCTAGCTGAAGGACATGGATATAAAAGTGTCACCTTGGCAACTAACCCTGATGCCCAGCCCTTTCCTTCCCAGGATTCCTCCTCCTTTTTCTGCTTCCTCGCTGCCAGCAGTGGGCAGATTTCCTCTGCCAGGCCCTTCTGCCATGATGGTTCTGCTTCATCACAGGCCTAAAAGCAATGGAGTCAGCTGACCATGGACTGAAACCTCTGAAACCACAAGCCAAAAATAAATCTCTCCTCCTTTAAGCTGTTCATATCAGGTATTTTGTCACAGCAAGAAAAAGCTGGCTAACACACATGGTGATTTTAGTGTCATAGGAGGTGAGTTGAACAGAAGACCCAACTTGCCCATCTGGCTTCTATAGAAATGACAGTCACAAGAAAGAAAAAGCCAGATGACCTCGGAGACTTCTTAATACGCTTGGTTCAGACTCTGAGAAGGGCCAAACCCAGCCTGTTCAAGCAGGATTTTAACCATCTGGCCTAACATGAGGGGGACAACATGTTGTGCTCCTGGCCCTTCTTCCAAATCCCAGCCTCCCATCACCCTGCTCTTTTGGTCATTTAACTTTCCCTGGACAAGAAGGCCTTGTTCCTCTTTTCTTTCTCTCTCTTTGCTTCCTTCTTCATTCACTCCACAAATATTTATTGAGCACCTATGGTGCTGGGCAATGTGCTAAGTCTTGGAGGATCCAGGGGTAAGGGAAATAAACACAGCCCCTGATCTATGGCAGAACAGGAGGCAATTCTTGTAGGAAGTGGAGAGGGGTAGAAGGCTTATAGGACATACACAGAAAAAAACAACAGAAAGCTGTGTGCTAAGGGAGGGCAGGGCCCAAGGTAGAGAAGCTGGTGGTGAGCTTCAAGGATGCAGGGGAATCAAAAGACAAAGAGAACTCAGCAAATCTTGGCAAAGGGTTGGTGGGCTGGTGGGTGAGGAGAGAAAGATGTCAAAGTGGACTTGGGTCACTGGCTGGGACACCTGAGTGGGGGAGAGTGCCAACTCTAGGAACACCTTTAGCAAGGCTGGCTCGGGAACTTCTAGCCTGGCAAAGCTTCTATGCATGTGCAAAGTCTTCTGCACTAATGCTGCCACGCAGAGCAGAACTAGGAATGGGCTCCAACTGCTCCAGGGCAGCTTCCTCACTCCAGCACTGCCTCTGTTCCTCTCCTCCTCCAACAGCCGTGGGAAGCCTGACTCCTTCCTGTAGTGCTGCAGTGCCTGCCCTCCTTCCTGGGCTCCACTCTTGTCATTGCAGAGCCGTGATGATTGACATGCCCAGAGGCCAATGAACTGCCAGCCCTGCTCACCACTCCAGGGTCCAGATATCAAAAACACAGGAAACAGACATGCTTTCCACCCAGGGAGGACAGAAAGGGCCCAGATGGGACTCCTCACAGCACACTTGATTGACCCCACCTGGCCATCCGGATATGCTGGTGGGGATGCAGAGGGTCTCAAGTTTCTAGGCTAGGCCCTGCAGCCGGTGAACCTTCCTGCATCATTTAGATGGTTGCCAGATGGACTTGGACCACAGGGAACTGGAGGAGGGATTTGTGCTGGGCCTTCTCGTTCAATGACTTCTCAAGATTTAGTGATTCTCTGCCACCAACCTAGCTTGCTTTTCATGAAACTGCTTTGAGAAGTGTGCACCCTGTACCCCCACAAGTAGTCTAGAAGAGGCCAGTGTATCAGGGTGTTCTCCTTTCAGCAGGAAGATAGTACACATCTGTGTTCTCTGTCTTTGTGCCAGGCTATGCCTGAGTCTTCTCCCTGGGGACAAGGAGTCAATGCACCTCTGAATTCCCGACTTGTCTGCTTGAGGCTGGCCCACCCGTGGGCCCCCTGTCTGTGGGCAAAAAGTTCTTGCACTCCTGAGCTCCCTCCTTGCATTTTATAGACGCTCTCACATCATGGCGATGCCCTTTTGTGTATTATTATGTCCATTTGCACCTGCTGAGGACATGGTGAGCTTTGCCTTGGGTCTTTGCTCCTCAGTTAGTTCTGACCTAGCCAGTGGCAGTCCCTAGTTGTGAACACTGAGCCTGAGTGACTGAGGCCAAGCCTGCCCTGTACCTAGACACATCTGCTCTCTGCTGCAGTCCTGTCTGGGTTGTTGGTGCCTGGCGCCAATCGTATATGACAGATGAAGAGATGAATCAGAGGGGGAAAGAAACTTGCCTGGGGCCACACAGCTGAAATCAGAAACTCTGATTTCTCTGAGTCCTTGTTAGTTGCCTGATCCATTCTGTGCCACCTCCAGCTAATCACTTAAAGCTCTTGGGGGCCTTAATAACAGGTCGGGGGAGCTGGAAGGGAAGGAGAGGAAAAGAAAGAAGGTGGGGGGTGACTCAGGAGGTGGCTGAGTCCAGCCATGTTACTCACTGTGACCTCAAGCAGTTTGCCTCCCAGCTCAGAACCTCCTTTTCTTCCAGTGTCAAACGAGGACACTGATCTGTGTCCAGCTTTCTTACTCAGTGGCTCTGAGGACAAGGCTGCGGTGTGGGAACAGGCTCTGAAGACAGGGAGGGGCCACTTTGCCCCCACAGAGCTCCTGTCCTGGTTGTATCTCAGCCAGGGCCCAGGGCCTGCAAGCTGCTGGTGTTGGGACGTGGAGCTTACTTGCATCTCCCCAACGATGGCTCAAGCTTGGGTCATGGTGGGCTGCCAGTGGCCTCTCCCCATGGAACGGGACCCACCACTCACAGCGCCCTATCCCCCACTTGGCCATTATGGTTTCAGTCTGCCTGGCAGCTTGGGAATCAGACAGGCCTTATCAGAAGCCCCCGGCCGCTTGGTCTCCAGTTTCTGGGAACAGCTCGCACTCTGCAGCTTGCTTTCCCAGGGGCTGGTGCCAAGCAGGCTCAGCCTCAGGGGCTGGCGGGACTCCAGCTGTTCTGATGAGTTCCCTCGGCAACAGCTGGAAGATGGCTTCATTAGGGCATAAGGAGACCTAGCAGTTGGCCTCTGTCCACCTGGTCCCAGCTGTGAAATGGGCGCATGGGTGGTGTCCCCCATAAAACGTATTGCCGCATGCTGTGGGGGACAGGCCTGGGGTGGGTCTCTATGAACTCTTACAGTCATCTTCTGGAAGGGAGCCCCACAGGGAGGACTCCAGTCAGAGTGGGCAAGTGTTGCATCGAGGCAGGGCTTGCCTGGCCTGTGGCAGGCCCTGGGTTTCATCCTCAGCACTGCCAGCAAAACAAAAAGCCACTCCCTAAGGTGGAGACAACAGAGGTGCAGGAGGTTCAGGTCCTGCCAGGTCACTCAGCCTTTCTGGCCAAGCTGGATTTAAATTCAGGCAGGGGGACTCCAGAGTGTGGAGTGGGGGTCCTGGTCCTCCCATCTTCCCACCTCTGTGCATGCCTCACTCTGCCCCAAAGGAGAGGACTCTACTTCCAGAGGTGGGCAGGCCAGCTCTGTGTCGGTGCTGCTTGCAGGTGCCAGGCAAGACTGTGCAGCCAGCATGCCTGTTATGGATTAAGAACTGGTGGTCAACTTAATGCCAGCTGGATTACGTCAGCATGGCACTGAGCGAAGATGCTCCACCGGAGGAAAGTTGCCAGCATAAATAGGTGGAGAAGGAGAGGGGAAAGCTATTGTGTTAAGGCATTATTGTGTCGCTGCGTTGAGGCATTGTGGGTTCTGAGTTGCTGTTCGAGTCGTTGGTTCTCCTGGAGAAGCTCTGGTCCCCACATCAAGCATTGCTTCCTGGATCCAGAGGGGAAGATGTGTGCCGTTTGGTCTCTAGGATGAACTCATCACGTTGGCTTCCTGGCATGTACCCGACTGTGCTTGTCGTCGTTGTCGGAGCTCGGGGCCTCTGTATTGCTGAGGATGGCTGTGGTGCCTTTCAGGACAGCCTGGTCTTTGTTGTGAGTGTGACTTCTCGGCTCCAGCGTAGGACCCTCATCCCACCAGCACAGCCCCTTCACCCCACTGGCATAGACTTTCTGGCTCTACTGCTGACCTTTGGGCCTTCCTGGCACGAATTGATAAAAGAGACTGATGTGAGTTCTTCTTGTGGGCTCTGGACCTCCAGTTGGACTCGTGGGAGGCACTGTCATGAGCTCTGGGTTTTTATCTGGACTCATGTGGGTCATTGCTGTGGGATTTAGACTCTTGACTAAATATTCTATGTCTTTGGTGTTGCGGATAGATTTCCTGCATTTTCTTGTGTTAACTCCTGATGACCATTATAAAAATATTAATATAAACTCCATGTCCTGATTCTAATTGTCCTCTGCACAACCCCTGACTACAACAATGCCTAAGTAGTGTTCAGGTGCCAGGAAGGAGGTCTAGGAAAGGGCTGGTGGGGTGACAGAAGCTTCATACAAGTGATTCAGGACCTGTGTGCTGCATGGCTTGGTGGCCTTTGGTGAGAGGGTGGAGCTCAGCCCTCCACCCTGACCATCTGTGAGGATGCACAGTGTCTTGTGGACACCAGAGACAGTGAGTGGGAGGTGTCATTGTGGGTATCTGGCTACTGTCTGAGGAAGCTTCTCGAAAGAGCCTCAGACTACCTGGTTATCTTTTACTCGAGGATGTGACAGTGAAGCTTCTTAGCAAGGTGTTCTTCACTTTCTACCTGGCCCCAGTAGGCCCCAGTAGTGCCGTCCCCATCATCCCTTCTTTGGGCCCTGGTTCCAGCTGCTTCTCCTGTCAGGCCACCTGAGAACCCACCTTTGAGGATATGACCTCCCCTTACCCTGAGCCCCTCAGCAACCCAGGACATGAGATGGGAAGACACATAGCTTATTCAGGTTTAGGGTTTTCATAATGTCTGTAGGTCACATGGATGTAAGGAAACACACATGGACCAAAGGCAGGGGTCATGTGTTTGTTCATGTGAGCTCTGGGGCCTGGGTTCCCTTCCCTCCATCTAGCAGAGTTGGGAAGCTCCTCTGCATCCATAGATAACAGTGTTATTGGGATGCTTTCTGGGCCACCCTTCAAGAATGTTTGCCTTGTGACAGCTTTAAGGAGGAGCTGGGGTATGAGAGTAAGATTCTGGGTGTGGTGGAAGACTGATGGGGCTCTCGGGCCTGTTGTGGTCCTGTCATGGTGGGGTGTGACCATTGTGGGTGGCTCCCAAGACTGCTGGCTCCTACAAGATCCCTCTTTCCTACCCCTCATATGGGCCTGTTCAGGCAAACAAGGCCCTTCTGCTTTGCTCAGGGTCATTGGGTGGCATTGGTGGCATTTTAAAACACTGTTAATAGCTGACATTTGTCCAATGCCCAGGCAGGTACTCTGCTGCACACTTACATGTGCTATCTAATCTCTGCACCCTAGCTTTGTGATCATGGCCCAGAGACCAGCTGGCACCATTTTACCAGGGAACTTCATTTGTCTCTGTGTCTGGCCCATCTCTAGGGAGGTGGGTTTGCAGGAGCAGAACCTGGCCTCATTCAGGTCTTTAGAATCTTCAGTCCCCAGTAGGAAGTGTGTACCTCATACCCATGGGTCAGAAGAGGGGTAAATTAATGAATCTCTAGGATTTTGACCCTTCCTATGGGCCTTTCTGGGAACCCAACTTGAAAAGCGTGCTAGTGTGATTGTCTTAAATGGGAAAGCAGGATTACAGGTGGTTTGTGCATGTATGTCTGCAGGGCACAGAGAATGGAGGCTTGGTGGTCATGATCAGAAGGTGGGCTCTAGAGTCTACTGCTTTGGGGAGATCTCAGCTCTGCATTTTCCCAGCATGGTGACTTGGGGTGAGAGGCTTTGACTCTTTGGACTTCTAAAACACATAATGCTGTCTCTCTGCAGGGCTATGGAGAAGAAGAAAAAAGCATTGTGCAGAAATTTCCCAGAACAGGGCCTGCCCCTTGCTAGCACCACTAAGTAATGTTATTATAATTAGCAAATAGGGATAGAGGGAGGTAGATAGAAAATATACTGATAATAATAGTTGGCCATGGGATTGGTAAGGTAGCAACAGGCAATTGTGGTTTAGACCTAGAATGCCTACCCCTCTCCAGTTTCACGTGGTCAGAGGCATGGCCTTTGGCAAGGTATTAGATCATGGTGGCAATGTACTCATCAGTGTTAATCCGCTGAAGAGTTCAGAGCTGAGTGTGCTGTTCTGAGCTGGGTCTTGCTGTGGGTGTTACTGGAAGTGTGTGTCTCTCTCCCAGCTCCTCCCTCTGCTCTCTGTTTCCTGGTTTTGTGCAGTGAACAGCTCCACCCTCACTCCCACCAGCACTCAGTCATGTATTCTGTTATGCTATTTCTGCCTTAGAACCAGCCAACCATGGACTGAAACCACTGAAACTGTGAGCCAAAATAAACCTCCCTTCCTTTAAATCTGGAATGTGAGGTGTTTTGTCTCAGTGATGGGAGAGTGGATAAGACACAGGTATCATCTCCTGCTCTGTCTCACAGCTCTCAGCATCTCCCACAGCTCTGTGTGACCTACAAGCAGCAGGTCTGGTTTCCTCAAGCACGGTGTATATTAGCTGAAGGTTGCATGATGTGGTAGCCTCTGAAGGAGACTTGTGAATGTGATGGGGATGCTGTAGGGTATCACAGAATGAACTGAGCTCCTGGGGCCAAAATGGACAGTGACCTTAGCTGAGCATGGTGTGGGACAGCTGACCAGGTGCTTTCTCTCCACCCCAACTGAAGTCTCTCACCCTGGCTTCACCAGCAATTTTGAACAGCTTTTTAGGGAAGGTGAGACAGATGAAGAAGGGTCAACATTGGCCAAGTTGTCAACTGCCTCTTCCAAGGAAAAACTTAAAATGACTGAATTTGTATGGGATGGATTTGACTAGAATTTCTGCTTTTAGGAAAAATGGGGCTCAGGAAAGAATTGAAAACAAAGAAAATTAATATGTTTTGTATATATGCCCATGTGGCTTATGGAAATTCACCACTGTGTTTTACATCTTGTATATACAGGTAGTCTCCATTTAACAATTATTAGGGTGATTTTGTTTTGTGGACATCACAGAGTACTCTCACATAAATGACAGAGGTGATGATGTCACAAGGCAATATAGTCTTATGAGACCACTATCACATAAGCAGTCCATAAGTGACTGAAATGTTGTTATGCTACACTTGATTGTGATTTCAAAATAGACTGAGTTGTGTGTGTGTCTGTATGTGTGTGTGTGTCTATATGTTTGTGTGATTATGTAAACTGAAACAAAATCAACCAAAGGTTATTAGATATCTCAGGATGAAGGGATTATGGACCACTTTTTATTTTCTTAATATACTGTACTATCTCTCTCTAATTTTCTAAAGCAAACATGAACTACTTTGATGGTTAGAAAGGTGAAATATTTACATTATCAGGAACTGGGTGTCTACCCCGTGTTTTGGATCAGCCAGATGGGGCCAGTAGACTGTGTGTGCTGGGTCCTGGAAAGACTTCAGGCCCAGGTCTGTGTCCTCAGAGTGTGCCCACTCTTTCTTGACTTCCTGAGCACATGCAACCAGGACCTCATGAAATGTTTCTTCCCAAGGAGGAAGCAAGGAAGCTTTCAAGCCCATCCTATCATCCAGGAGTGCAGAGACAGTGGTCTCTGTTGCAGATTAGAGGCTGGAGGCTCAGGGCTGGGGAGTGACTCGTTCAAGGCCACACAGTCATGGAGCAGCAAGGCAAGGCTGGAACCCAGGCCCTCGGACTCCCACCTCAGCTTCCCTTGCTCTGAAGTTCCTCTAGTATGGGCTCACCTGGTTGTCTGGTGGCCAGCAGCAAGAGTCTCTGGGACATTCTATGCTCACATGTCCTCAGTACCTGGTA